TCTCATTGTTTTCTTCGTCTCGAATTTGGACTGTCCAGTTTGTCAATGTGTACACGTACAGTACAGGAGTAACTACTCCGGAGGTCCATCCACCTGATCGCAAAATTGTACATGAGTAGGTGAGATCGTAGCCTTTGAGGCCGATGAAATCATATTTTCGGTTTCCATTATTACTTGTTCATTTTATTCAGTTGTATCTCTTGTACTCCCCTTCTGCTTACTCTAGCTATTCTTTCACTTTCTCGCCTTTCTGTCTCTGTTCTATGGCCCTGTTCGCACCTCAGACATTATTGGGGCGAAATTTTGGTCCTTTTGAGGGCTGCATGCTGAACGGAAATGACTAGTAGTAGTCGAACGGACCATCATGTAAGTTACTGTACGGAGGGCTCCGTACTCGTGGACACTTTGGCCCAATCGCGGAATGTGCGGTGACCTTCCGATCGGGCTGACTGACTATCACGCACCACATTGAAGGATACGGAGGTTTTATTCTTCTTCTTCTTCCTCCTCTTCTTCGTCTTTTTTATTTTTATTTTTTGCTTTTCTTTTCTTTTAGTTTTCTCTTTCTTTTTTCTTGCCAGTAGCGGTTAGTGTACACTGTATAGAGTCCCAGGCACCCAGCACATATTTAGTACGCATGACTATGTATGTAAAGCATGTATGTATGTACTCATCATTGTGGTACTCCGTAGTGTCGACCCTCCCCCGCACGAACGGGCGGTGGGAAATATGTAGCTTTTGAGTCTTGACTCAAGTTCATTTACAAGTACATAGTACTTAGTAGCTTGGCTTAAGGTACTCATAGTCCTGTACCTGACTAGTAAGTTACTGCGTAATCCGTAGTAATGGAGGACTATCCCAGGCTCCGAGCATGTTTATTTTGAGACCAGAATAGCGAGGTATGACAGCCCTCGTTCATTGAAACCTTGAGATAAGACATTATCTCTTTTCTCCCTCGACTTGCCATGCTGCTTATTTAACAGTAGATCAAGTTTCTCGTATCGCGACTCCGCGGGTCTTGGAACAGCTAGGATACCCCAGTCATTTACGCAGGCACCTACCTGGGCCATCGGGATCTATCTCGGCGAATGGGGGCTTGTTTAGAGCATGGATCCCTCGGGAGCTCGAAGGATCACGGCCATCACCTGATTGTATGTAGATCATGGCAGGATGGCTCTAGTGCTCGTATGCGGAGAAAGGAGAGAGGAGGAAGAGGACGCGATGTCAATTAAAAAAAATCGATTCTCAAAGTCAAGAACCGGGTTGTGCTGCTACTCATCAGCGTCAGACTCTGAGGTAGGCTGACTTTACTTACTAGAATGTTTATAGCTCATGTAGTGAGCAAACCACTGACATCAAGCTGATGTGATCCTTTTCTGGGTGGAGTAGACGAGAAATTAGACAATGAGATCCTGAGGACGGACCGCCCGCAGGCGATCGATTACTTACCGTACTGTAGTTACCTACTTGTACCACGTTAGTACTTCGTACAGTATTGTACTTATGAGTACTCCGTACTCCGTACTCATTCAGCCTTCCTTCAGCCTTCGTGCAGCCTTCAAAGTTCAGGTCCGTCAACCCGTCAACCCGTCAACCCCAGGCCTTGTCATTTCCTCTTCCCCGTGCACTTCTTAAAGTCGTAGAGGGCTGATTCGCTGCTCCACTCCACCACTACGTTTTAGCCTGAGCACGTAGACTAGTCGAGACACCGCAAGAAAAATTGAAATCAATTTTATTTTATTTATTATCGTGTAAAAATAAAAACAAGCATCCGACAGAAAAAGATTTAGATTAAAGGAAAAACTTGCGACAGCCGCGACTGGCGACAAGGAATTGTCTCCCAATATCCTTCCCGCCCAAACCCCCTTCGTCCATCCTTCCCGTCCATCATTGTCCGCCATGGACTTTTCTTGATAACTTCGTGGACATTGTGGGGAGGGTCTCTCATTTTCGGCCACTCAAGCCTATCGTAGGTAACGTTCCGTTGCCTTGGCTCTTCATGTCGAGTGACAGTTCGGGATATGGGACCTATAATTATGTACGGTACAGTACAGAGTATCATGCTGCAACCAGTAAACCAATATCCACCAGAACCCTAAGGTACAGTATATCGATTCTCCTTTCCCTGAGTCGGGATAATAATAAGGTACTGAGTAGCCCTACTCGTGCTTTGAAGGGTCCTAGTAGGAGTCCTAGGGGATTAATCCCGCTGTTGAACGCAAGAAGGTGGATGCTTGGTCAAGAGGTGATAATAATTACTCATCAATGCCCTCTAAGAGAAAGAGTGCGATTGATATTGGAATCCATTACCAATCTAGATTGATTGTCGTTAAAAAAAATAAAATAAAAATAGATTGTGACGGGCCGGGCCTTCTTTATCTTGGGATTGTCAAATACGTATGTGCGACTGAGCACGTATGTACAGTACTACTGCTGTACTATTGACCCTTCCCTGGGCTATGGGTGGGGTTCATTCTTCTAGCTTCACGGTCCACGGTATGAGGATCCATCTCCGGGTTGGGGGGATGAAAATGAGGCGCTCTTGGCCCTTCCACGCTGAAAGCTCCGTCTCAACCAGGATAGTCTCGGCGCAGACGGGCACTGGAGTAAGCCCAGATGTACGGAGACTGTGCTTCCATAGAGTCAGCGAACCATCAACCTGAAAAATAGGACCATGCCTTGTCTCATCTCCAGTGGTCATTGGACTTCTGGCTGATATTACCGCTGGCGGCTGATCAGCAAACAAATACAACCCTAAAAAAAGGATGTCCAATAACTTACATTATACACTGGGGTTTACATGAGTAGGTAGACAGGCAGACAGGGCAAGAAGAAGACGCAATCTTGGATACGTCACAAGGCATACAGTACCTCATTCGACCCCGATCATGAGCCAAGCATCTTATTTGACCCTTCAATCCGATCTATCTCTCTCTCCCTTTCTCTCCATCTCTAGGAGAGTTCGACATACAATTTGGCCTATTCATGCACGCTATACAGAAATCTCTAATTTCCTAGTTTAGCCTTTGACCATTCTCTACTTGTGGTCTCCAAGTAACCTGACATCGGGAGTAGTTCATGCACGATCTGCGTGGATGTACAGTGCATTAGTGTAATTGTAGCAACCAATATTTCGTCCATGTGCGTAGGACAATCAGCCAAGAGCAAAAGCCCCAGCTGTTATCGTCATTATGCCAGGCAAGGCAGGGGGGATATCTACTACTTACTAGGAGGTAGGTAGTCATCACCCCAGGCTGGGATAAAAATCAGCCGCCGATGGCTCCGAATTGCCGCCGCCGAGATACGAGTTGATCGGTGTCCTCTCCACGCCAGACTCTTTTGGAGCAGGTACGGTATTATATATTAACTTATTCATGTAGGTACAGTAAACTGCAGTTAGTACAGTACTTTAGGTCTCCTGAGTCGATCGTTCAACGCCCTTCATCTCCCTTGATTTGACCACCCCTCGTGAACACCACCACCATAGGATCTCCAGTCGTTTGTCCTAACTCCGCTACTAAATAGGCCACTGGTGTGCTCCCAATGTCAGCCCCCCCCCCAATACCTTGTACAGTACAGTGTACGGTACACTAGTTACTGTATATTGCTAATGCCAAAGTCTGGACGGAGCATACCAACCCCATCGCAAAGTTGGGGCCAGCACTTCGTACTGGACATACTGGAGATCTTGTGTCCCTACTGCACACATAGACTCGTATTGAATGTGCTTAGGAAAAGACCGGAATCGTACTTCGTATTTGACTTACTGAATATGTCGGTGCTGACTGTCCCTGCATTGGTCTAATTGCAATGGGCTCGATACCCCGGCTGGGTTGTCAACCAGCAGTCGTAGTGCGTGTTTTGTTAGGTAGCCAAGATACGGAACCTAAACACCAGCATGGTTTAGTTCAGCCATGTTTTAGCAGGGGTACTGCGTCATATCAATGAGCTGAATGCTTGATGGCAGCCCCATTTGGTGTTTAACTCTAGATCAACTGATTAAACCCCCTGTGGAACTGTGCTGACATGCACCTGCACATGAATCGTGGCTTGACACCAGTGCTCGATGCAATCTCAGAATCCCTCCGGGGGGGGGGGGGCGGAGATGGGGGCGCTTTGCCACCTCCCAAAGAAAAACAATAAGACATATCTGGTTCCCGAAAAGAAACCTATAGATCCTGGATCTTACTTTCAAATCCCGCACCCATGTGCTGGAACTCAAACCCTAAGTGGCTCTGTACTCTATGCACACTAATTCACATCGTTTTATCCCCTTGTGGTGGATATTCCTGCAGAGTGCACACTGTTGCAGAAAGACAAAGCAGCAAGACTTTAGGGTACCCGACCTGCTTCGGGTCATAGCTACTGGTAAGCAGTACTCAAGTCCCGAGCATATACTAGATTATTGTGGATCTGCTTCGTAAAGGAGGTAGCTCCCTCAAAATCGCCTGTTATGGCCAGTTGTGCCACCCTCCCCAATAAATTTAGGTAGCATGAAGCCTACAGATATATTGTTCACGATCCACAGTGCTTTCGTCATTAAGGCATTTAGCCTTTTTTAAAGACAAATTCATTACCGGTAATTCAGCGGGTGATTACTACCAACACAGCCCGTAGACTGATTTCACTTTTGGTTATTGGGCTACGTCTTTGAAGGCCAAAGACCAGCCCCGTAAGACAGCCACTTACCCAACCGCGCGCGGGATTCGGGGAAGGACGCGATCATCCTTCGGCAACGCAAACACCCTGGAGCAGAACGAAGCGAGGAGCAGCAGAATTCAAAGTCAAGGCAAGAACAGCAGTTACGAAGACAGAAGACATTTCACATTTGCGCCAGGGCTTTTCATGTTCAGCCTAATCACCGTCCAGTGTACGTAGAGTATCTAGAAGAGGAAAGAAGAGGAGAGACCCGAATGATTAGCACCGCTCATGAAAGGTATCAAACGGGTGGGAAACACTCCGTCTCATGATGTTGGTCTTATGATCACGGGTATTGAGACTTACCTCCAAATTCTTGCCCGCATATCACCGCTACCTGTAGCGAACAAATTGTTGGTGGGACTAGGAGCAACAGAGATAACTAGAAAATGGGTTAGTTAGGTAAGCACACCAAACAGCAAGGTTGCTCGGGAGAACATACCCGAGTTCTTATGACCTTGAAGCATCATCTGTGCGTTGCCGGTGATTGGATCCCAGAATTGAACCCCTCTATCCTTGGAGCCACTCATAACCCAGTGGCCATCAGGGGTCAAGCAGACACTGAGCACAAAATCCTGACCTTGAAGTTAGCTACTACAAAGATGCGCGGATAGCAGAAGGAGAAATTACCTTGTGACCCTCAAAGGTACGGACACATTTTCCGCCTTTGACTCCACTCCCGGGATACGCGCCACGGGGAACATTGAGCTCCCAAAGCTTGATGGTCTTATCGAGACTGCCACTGACGAGGTCTCTACCGTTGGGTGCAAATGCGACCGAGTAGACACTATCCTTGTGGCCATCAGGGTTTTCCAGGCGCTCCACAAGGTAGCCGGTGGTGGTGTCCCAGACCCGAACGCTCTTGTCGAGGGAACCCGCAGCGACGTAATGACCATCAGGTGACATGGCCACGGTGGTCACACCATCTTCAATGCTCAGGGTATAAACTAACTTGCCATCGAGAATGTCCCAAAGACGAACAGTCTTATCTCCACTGCCGGACGCGATATAGCGGCCGTTACCCGCAAAGTCCAGAGAGTAGATGTCCTGTTCGTGACCACTGAAAACGTGCTTGATAGTCCGAGAGCTGATATCCCAAACCTGGAAAACATTAGTTAGCTTCTGTAGTAGAAAAATCTGGCCAATTGCCTCTTATAGGCGAAACCGTAGACATAGAGCAGGTTTGAGACGATTGGGCCTAGGGAAGAAAGCGAAACCCATGCGTAGTAAACGAGAATGAGTAGGGGTGGAAAGGCGATGCTGCCAGGAAAGCTTTCACCCTCTAAGAGTGAGGCAGAGCTAGACGTACCCGAATTTGTTTGTCTTCCGCACCAGTAGCAAGATACTTGCCATCCGGGCTGAAGCAAACGCTACGAATGTACAAATCGCCGTTCTTATCAACAGTTTCGTCTTGCAGGGTGGCGACAACCTGACCAGAAGTAACATCGTAAATCTGTGCCTGACGGTTACAGCCAGTGGCTAGGTACTTGCCATCTCTGCTAAACCTAACACAGCAGACGACGCTGTCGTGAACGAGATGGTGGACAAGTTCGACATCTAGTACGCGCTGCACTTCGGGGTTGAACACAGCATACCAATCAGCCCCTTCCCGCTTCTGTGAAGCCGGTAGCTCGTCGGGGTTCCAGTTGGCGAGCATGTTTCCAGGGCGATCGCGGACCAATGACTGAGTAGGGGGGGTCGGCCGAGCCAGTTGCGGGGAGACGCGTGGGTCGGGATAGGCGAGCTGATGGGTCTGCTGGGGGGTGGCCGGGCCAGGAGGGGCGCGAGGCCGCTTACCAGGACCTGGGGAGGCAGCAGGTGGAGGAGGGGGTCCATAGCCTAGACAATGGTCAAGGTACAACCAAATTAGTCACTAGGAGCTATGTTTCCGGCGCAACGTCGCAACATACCGTTCACAGCAGCACCAGGTTGATATCCTCCGAACGAGCTCTGCGGTGGTTGCGGCGCTCCTTGCTGAGCCGCGGCAGCAGGCTGTTGAAGAGTATGCTGGGGAGGCTGCTGATCCTGGGGAGGGGGAGGGGCAAGACCGGGGCCACTGCCTCCTTGATTGGTCATGATACCGCCGAACAAGTTGCTCGGACCATGACCCAAGGCAGGAGGCGGCGCCTGGGAAGGGCCAGCGTGCTGGGCAGGGCCGGTGATATGCGATGAGACGGGTTGGACACCGCGAGACTCAAGCTCGTGTCGTAGCACTCGAATTTCCGCTTCATAGCTGCGAAGCAACATGCGTTAGCTTTCCTCGTGTTGTGCGCACTCAAATCAATTCCCAAATGTGATAGGTCACGCACTCGTTCTTCATCTTAACTTGCGTCTGCTCCAGCTGAAAGATTTTTTGCCGGATCATTTCCATTTCCTGCAGCTGTCCGGTTACTGGACATTCAATTAGCAAGCGACATCTCGAGGGAGTGACACGATGTGTTTTTTTTTAAACCCCTCCGATAGATCGTTCTAACGCGATCGATGAGAGAAGGGAGATATTTGGTCGCAGAACCGATGCAGGGAGCAACGTTAGGGAATGAAGAAAGGCCAGACGTACATTGGTGTTCAAACTCGCCAGTGCTTCTGGATTGGTTCTCGAATTCCTGACGGAGCTGGTCCAACAACTCCGTCAGGCGGGAGTTAGGAGCGGGAACCATCCCGCGATGAGTGTTATACATAGCGCAGAGTTATGTTTCACTGCTATCGCGTGAAGAGGCCAGAGAAACACGAGGACAGGTCGAATTTCGAGGAGAAACACGAGGACAAGGGCAAATGAAAACCCAGGTGAGAGAGCGAAAGGGGAAGAAAGAGGAAGGATGCTGTGCTATGAGTGAAGCAAGGAAGTCGATTTGCTCCGCCTAATAAGTTATATCTGTTGTTTGTTGTCTGTGATGGACGACGAGGATAACAAGTTTTTGGTGACAGGGCCACAGAGACTGAGGAAGGGTAGTCAGTCAACGCAGCCGCATTACAGCGCGCCCTGAAGATTTGGCGCAGTATTGAGCTAGGATAATATCGAGGTTTCGATGATGAAGAAAAAGGGGATCAGGATTGGAACCGATGGAGGTAAAGGTGAAGTTCAGGGAGAGGGTGAAGAGAAGAGAAGTGGGACAAGAGAGGGGGGCGGGACGTGATTGTAAATGAATTGAATGTGATGTGGTGGTTGTATTTGGGGTTGGGTGGGGGGAGGGTGAAAGGGTAGGAAGTGGTGGATGAGATGAGGGAGCGGGTGGTTGAGTTTCTGAGGCTGAGGTAGAAGGAGGATGAGGAGCCTGGAGGAGCCTGGAGGAGAAGGGCGTCGATTCAGATGAGGTGACAGTTCGGTTTAGGTAAAGTACGGAACTCCGCTGGAATCTCCCCGCTACCCAATCGCCACCCACTGTTTGCCGCTCCAAGCGAGCGGCTGCAGCTCCGGACACAAACCAAGCGATGCTGGCCAGTTGGCCATATCTTAACATTGTCATCGCATCGATGGCAACGGCCTTCTAGCATTGATAAGAATCAATCGCTTGTTGATCGGATCGCTTATCTTGTCATCTTGACGGATAGGCTTTGACGGATTATCAGTACTATTAATGTCGGGAATATGTCTGAGTTGGGGAGGATTTCTCACGCCTAGTGATACTTGTACGATAACTACCGAAGGTATATACAATACATACTTTAGTTGCGCATGTGCAGATATTCAGCAAGATCAACCTGCTTGATATATAAGAAAGAGTATCATCGACATCTATTCAGGAATTATATTTATTTATTTAATAGCTGGCCTGGTGTATAAGTGAGTCTATTATAGATACATATGTGTGCTCAGTAAATGAGCATATTTGTCAAAATATTTGTGTATACTGAACTGTGCACTCCGTTTCACTGGAGGCAAACAGCCAGCAACAAATATATCGATGACGAACGGTTGGGTTTGTTCCGCTCTGGTGTGATCCCTCCGTCCTGACCAGACCACTAAGTTGATTGGTGTTCCTTATATCGGATACTCCACCGGTGCCTGCATAATTTCTTCAAACTAGCTAGGTATTAACTTATTCTTCACGGCAAACTAAATTTACCCCTACTTTCGGTGCTCCGTACCGTATGTACCTCTTCTCCCTCTTTCATTTTCTACTCTTCCTAGTTCCTACTACCGTCCTCCTCCTCCTCCTCAGTTCCCCCATTCTCTTTGTGGACTCTCTCTTTCTCTCCAGTCAAGGTCCCTGAAAACCATACTTCCCTCGTCTTCAACTGCTACTTGTGGACGGTTGTTACTATCGAGAGCCGCCCTCTCTCTCTCTCTCTCTCTCTCTCCGTTCACCATTCCTCTGTGGCGATCAGGACACAATTATGGATATCGCCCTCGAAGTTTGGGACACCTTCATTGGTGATCGCCTCTACTCCTCCCTTCTCCCTCTGTCGCTCTCGTCCTCTATCACAATTCCAGGAGTCAATACGGCTGCCAATAGCACCCTGTCTCTTTTCGGTGCATCCAAACCCTACGTCTATGAACCGGCCACGCAACTGTTCTATCTGGAGCCCAGCAAATACGCCTCTTTGAGCGCTTGGCCGAGGAACAACATCTACCGTCAGTTTCTCAGCTTTTTCTTGATCGTCTGGTATGTGATTCCCCATTTATCGCGCATTCTCACTGCTAACTGAGGACTGTGTCACATTAGGATCTTCGGTCTGATCGTTTACTTCATCTGTGCCACACTCTCGTACATCTTCATTTGGGACAAGACCACGGTTCGCCACCCCAAGTTCCTCAAGAACCAAATCCCCATGGAAATCGCGCAAACGATGCAATCGATGCCGGTCATGTCCCTGTTGACGGCCCCCTTTTTAGTCGCGGAAGTCCGTGGCTATGCCAAACTCTACGATACTTTCGATGAGGAGCCTTTTCCCTACTACAGCGTCCTGCAATTCCCACTATTCATTGCCTTTACAGATTTTTGCATCTACTGGATTCACCGGGGCTTGCACCATCCCTTAATCTACAAGACACTACACAAGCCTCACCACAAGTGGATCATGCCCAGTCCCTTCGCATCTCACGCTTTTCACCCGCTTGATGGCTGGTCTCAGAGCGTTCCCTACCACGTCTTCCCTTTCATCTTTCCTCTTCAGAAACTTGCATACGTCTTCCTCTTCGGGTTCATCAATCTCTGGACTGTGCTTATTCATGATGGTGAATACGTGGCCAACAGCCCAGTCGTCAACGGGGCCGCTTGCCACACAATGCATCATCTCTACTTCAACTATAACTACGGACAATTCACAACTCTGTGGGATCGTCTTGGTGGCAGCTACCGGAAGCCAAACGAGGAGCTCTTCCGCCGCGAGACTAAAAATGGCCAGGAAGAATGGAAGCGGCAAACGAAAGAGATGGAGACCATTCTCAAGACGGTCGAAGGCGAGGATGATCGGAGCTACTTGGCCGAAGGAGAGACCAAGAAAAGACTATGACACAAGTATATTCTATGTGTCTCCAAGCTCGCTCCCGTCGCAATCAACGACAGGGACTTCACATCAGCCTGTCGGTTCTAAATTCCGTTCTGGCTCTTCCAACTTTACCCCTTTGGAATAATCCGATACATGTGCAGCCAACGCTCGTCGTTGGCCTTGAGAGCTCCAGAAGAAACAAACCCACGGTTGCGTGAAAACGTCACGGGATCATGATTTGACGGTGTCGGATTCGATTTTATGCGAATTCGATTCCACCCAGCTGACTTCTGCTCCATGGCAGGGCGACCTCACGAGTTCATGGTTCTTACTTCCACAACACTTTTTGCTGCTATTGCCATTACACTTCCTAATCACCACTGTACAACACACTTTCTGGTATGATGGCTGTCTTATTAATGCTTATTCTGTACCTTACGTTCGTTGCCAAAGTGCTTTGTTAAGCTGCGCTGGTGGCGAGATCTCGGAATCACCCACAACGTTTCAGTTAGGTACCCCTGCAATTCTGCTTGTACATACATTATATATATATTTTTCCCCATCCCGAGGACTAGAAACAGACAGATTAATCTTCGGACGCAATACAGTCACGAGTCTAGAGCAGCAGAAACCTGGAATTGGTTTGACGACGACATCGACTTCTTATGGAAAGACAGTATGGAAAGGTGGCTCGGACCCACTCATCTGAGTCGCCTTGTTCGAGGCGTTGCTACGTGATGGAGAGCATGGCTTTGCTCTTTCTTCCGCGGCTCGCTGACATGTGGATATTCTCAGCCGAGCCCCTTTCGCTCTGTCCCTATAGACATCCTTGAATTAAGCGTGCCTCTACACCACACCACCGACGCCCAGAAGAACGTCAAGCTTCTATCTATCATGGTTGGGGTGTTTACTTCTGGATATCCTCCAAGAGACTCGTGAAGAGGTAATTCCGTACATGACACTCTAGATTTGCGCTAATTCGCTGCCATGATTGATCTTACAACGACACATACTCACAGATAAGCACCTATGGATACAAAGCAAGAACCAAGCCCAATTTAGACAAATACACACGGTCCCTTATGCCACAGAGGACCGGAAGTTGCCACTCGTACCCTGTCAGATTCCTTAATTTCCCCCGTCCACCTCGACTATGTCCATATCTCCATTCAACGGGGCATGCTCTGAAGCGGCGGTCTCGTCGGGGACCGGAGTAGGGGCTACCGTACCGACCGGAATTGCTTCGACCAAGGCCTCGACAATGAAAGACTCCTCAACGCCAGCTTTGCGCCGGAACACCCTGAGCCATCGCTGACCCCAACGCCGGATGATCTCATCTTCAGGCAAGGTACCACTTCCGTCCCCCCTTTCCATCAGTTCGTCGTTACTGCCGCCAGCAACTGACACGATGGAGTCCTCAATTACCCGGAAAAGGGCCTGCATATCGGTCTGTTCGCGTTTCAGAGTCTCGTCCAGGACGCTCAATTGAGGCTCGAACAAACTGGGCTGAGTACGGGCAGCAACGATCTGGCGTAGGCGATTTGTGACCTTCCCAACGGTGGCGGATATCATCTCGAAGATGTGCGGTTTCGCGAGGACCGTACCTGCCTCGAGCTTGTCCACTAGGGCCCATTCGACGACTGACAGCGGTGTAAGGATGGTGTAATTCAGGAGTTTGTCAATAATGTTTATACCGATGCCCGGCTGATCGACCCAGTAATCCATGACGGATGTGATAATTTGACGCTGAGCCCGAGGCGACTTGGGGCCAATGGCCAATAGTCGCTCCTTGTTACGCTCAATGCAGGAGAGGAAATGAGATAGAGATTTGGATCCCACAAAGCAAATCGCCGTGACGAATGCGTCGGTGGATGGAATCAGCGGATCCTCGACCCCTAAAGACTTAGCTTGCTCTTCAATCGCATCGATAAAGGGTTGGATCTCCTCGTCGCTCGCTTTCTTTCGAACAAGCTGCATGATTTCCTTGCCTTCATTCGAATACGGTGTAGCTGGATAGTGTGTCAATTCAGTAGTCATGTAGATGCGACCAACAGGGAGATAGTAAAGCAGCGAGAGGAAAGAGAATAAAGGTTAAGATATGGGGCATGATAAACATACTGTCGAACATGTATTTGAAATCTGGCGTGTCCTTCTCCTTCCCTTCCGTAATCAGTTCTTGATATGGGTCCGGTAAAGTTCCTCTGATGCGCTGAGCAAAACTTAATCTGATCTCCTTGTCAAGCGCTCCGTTTATGAAAGCCATTCGAGGGTGAACTGCGGGTAAATCCAGATCCTCGATCCTGATAACCAAGTTAGCTTACCAACTGAAGCCAACGACGAATTGAAGCCAACGGAGGTTGCTCTATCTTACCATTCACTCCATTTCCAAGTGAAACCAAAATTACTCAAATGATGGGAGAACCAATCCAGAAATCGCTGACTGAGGTCAAGATCGATGCTCTCAAGGCTGCGATATAGGAAACGAATAGCCCGGCCCAAACTTGGCGCGATGGCGGCAGGAGCAATCTTGCAGCACTCGGTAAGCACTGAGTGGTAGTAGATGAATTTGTGTTCTGGGCATGGCAGCTGGAATAATTGAGAGAATACTGCATCCACAGCAACGTCTTCCGGCTTCCACTGCGAGCGATCAGTGGGTAATTCACGCAAGCGATCGAAAGGCGTGGCCCGCTTGACGAAGGTATTTGGGGTGAAATAACAATCAACGTCAATTAGAAACTTCGCAGTTGCAATTCGGTTGAAGTCAAGAATGTTGATAGTGTCAACGAGCGAGTCACGCAGCAGAGACGAGGCGATATCCGATGTTGGAGGTACCGTCTCAATGTCTTGGTTCGCATAGACAGAGAGATAGATTTCCGGGAAAATCGCTCTCGCTCCGTGGCCGACAGGATTTGGCAAGACGACCTGAGGGAAAGCGTGTTTTGCGCCGGGTGGCGTAGTGCTTGCAGATTCGGCTTCTTCCCCATCCTGAGCACCTTCGTCTTGGACTTCTTTCGGAGCCTCGAGGGTTTCGTAAATTCGTTTCCATGGGCGAGGAAGGCATGCGAGCTCCCAAGACCGATTCGATTCTCCCTGTAGCTGTTTCTGCATCAAACTGATTATGCTCTCTGTGGCAGCCGGCTTGCCTTCGGTGAGACAAAATGGATCCACAAGATCCACAAGAGCATGCGGAGTAGATGCGATGATGTCCGTCTTTTCAAGGAGAGCAGTGGCATGGGTCTCGAAGCGGGTCGCCGGGGACGCCATTACATATGGCAAGGTGAAGAGGATGATCTTAACGAGTTCCAAACCGAGCAACTGTCCTAGACAGTTAGCATATACTTAGTACGAAGAAACGTGCTACCGGGCTACTCGCATCTTCAGAGGAGGCCGTTTGAAGGTCAACTGCGCGTGCGAAAATTTCTTCCAACACGGGAAAGATACCATCTCCATCAAGGATACCCTGAAGGCAACCGAGGAAGCGCAGGAGGAGCTTGACTTCACGCCACGCACCATCATCAACGTATCCTTGCAGAGCTTCACCCGCCCTCGTCAGGAGTTCTGAGACGGGCTCCGGATTCAAGACATTTGCGGCAAGAACTGTTGCCGCAATGAAGGGAATCTTCAATGGCTGCTCAAGGACACTGTTTAGTGGTTGTTAGCCCCAGGTCAGGCTATACTCATTCACATAGGTAGTTGCATACAGGGTGATTGCGGTTTCAAGGAAGACCCCTCTAATCTCCTCATCACCGTAGTTCTCAGCCACAGTCTTCGCAATATGGATAGCGTCGTCCTCTGCTCTTCGGGCGGCCTGGGAAGAAGTGTAAAAGGTAAGCTCGGGACTGGGACTACTACACGGACGCGAGCCGTGCCATTGCAGGAAATCGTACAGACTCGGCAATTGTGAGCAACTGCCTCCGAACTTTGACAAACAAAGGCTCCTCGTGTCTTCGCCGCTGGCGGCGGTCGTAGTCATCATCATCTATACAATCCATACACACCTGTAAGTAAGAATGGCAACTGCCGAGGGTAAAGCAAAGGAAGCAGATGACAGAAAGGGCAAATAAAGCAGCGCAGCCATGAATCTCATTCCAGCGAGCCAAAGGTGTTACTAACCTCTATAGCGCCTCTTGCGCCCACCCCTTGGGCCATGAGGTCGACGTTCGTAGTCGGCCATCAGGGAAAGTGCTAGGTCCTCAAGGACTGCTGCGCACACGGAATGCAACCAAGCGAAGCGAAAAGAACAATTGGTCTCCAGCTGACGCAGCAAGAGAGACCGAAGGTATAGGCTTCCTGGTGGGGATTGTCGTCGGGGTGGAAGCGCGTATGTCCTGAAGCAAAACAGTGCCGATGATGCTCATCAATTCCGGGGCATGGGATCCTCCGACCCGCTGATTATATAACCGGCACATCTTCAACTACCACTTAACTTACTACCGTCCTCCGAGGTCAACTTAGCAAAGCTAACTGGCTCCCTTGTCTTATATACGCACTGTGCCATTGCGAAATGTGTCATGTCATAGTTAACATCGCAACCCAAAAAAAGGGGGGGAGGGAGAAGGGGCCGCAGGCTCTATCTTACGATGGATTTGGTAGAACTAACCAGCGCCGCCTTTTCTATCAACTCAACTCAAAGACCTGGCATGGCGTCTTCTATGCGATGGGATTATGCGAATACATCGAGATACGAAGGACTGTATGTGTAACATCGTGCTAGATACGCGCTAAGGCGTCAATACCTTGATTTAGCGATCACCCACATTGCCCGATGCGGAGCTCCAGGTATACTGTCTGGGAAGTCTAGCGGAGAATGGAAACATGAGTTATGCAAGAGAAAGAGAAGTAAGCTTGTCTGCTTTCGGAGATCAGAGGCATTTTTTATACCGTACTAGCATGGTAGCTTCGTCGTAAGCCACTGCAGTCAAGCAAGCATGACCATCCTTGTCAAGCGAACGATGATTGAGGAAAATCAGAAGTAGCAATAGGTTGATGATATAAGGGAAACAAGCGAGAACGACGAAAAACCGGGCAACAGGAAAATTGAGGTTTCGACAATTCGAGTAACGAAGCAAAAGAGGAATGAAGCAAAAGAGACACAGATGAGGGCATCTAGAGCTGCGAGTCAAGGAGAAGACCTCCAATACCTATATTCAAGCACACTCACAGGCACAGAACAATGTGCATCCAAACAAAGAAAATCCTCTTAATATCTGACGCATTTGTAGGATATACCTGTCCGCCTCTCTGAACAAGATTTGCGGCAACTTGTTGCAAGGACTCCTCGGATGGGAGGTTCACAATCGACAGACTCAAATTCCGAACGGCAGACTCACGCAATAAGGGTATCACTTTTGTTTTCTTCCCACGAGCTGTCTCAGACAACTCGGTGACTCCAGGGTATGACAGCTTCCCGAACCCTGCCTGTGAAACGGTCATCATCCCTGAGCCCCTCTTGAAACTTTTCTGATCGTCGCCCGAGTCACACATCGTCTCTTCCCATTCGCTCTCTTTTTCTTTCTTTTCATTCTGATCATAGAAGCCCTTTTTTTTTGGTACCATTTCCGCCCTTATGTTTGCGTTATGCCATTTCTCTCCGTCTCTCTCATTCAGAAGCCAGCTCCCGGATGCTCCAACCGATGGGTTAGTCCTACAAGACTGACAAACCTTACCCATGTATCACAAATCGCCCAATGCATGGAACTGAGCCTATACGACATGAATTGAAAGACTTGCAGTCATGTGCAACGGGCCTTGCACTGCGGAAAGCGTGTTACCCATAAGCTTCACATGCATGGACTCAATCTAGGCGTGCGAGCATCTCTTCCTTAGAGAGTGGTTTAAAATTGTTGATATCCAGTCCGCGGGCCTCAAGTGCAGGGCGCGCATGAGGAGGGACCAGCCGATTGTTCATTGCAGGTGCGATGGAGAGTTCTGAGGGTGCAGACATGCGTTAGCCTTTGAAACAAGCCCAGCCCACCAAGGTATAGGGAACGAACCATGTCTGGAGAAATCGAAAAGACTTGGAAGGTCCCTTGTTGACCCGCTTGGGTGTCGTGAATCGGGTAGTCGAGTGTTCGGGTCTCGGAGCTCGTCAAAGAATGGATGGCACATCGCCTCGATCGCTGATAGACGTTGGGTAGGGGTATATTCTAGCAGGGCGGAGATCAAATCAATGGCCTCGTGGGGTGCCCTCCGAAAGACCTAATACCGAGTCAGACACCGATACTAGAAGAACGAAAGGCCTAACGGAACCTGGCCTACCTTGTTGAATGGGTGTGGCTTGATTTGGGGAAATTTATGTTCCATGTAATTGGGGTTCATGGTCCGGATCTGTTCTCGCGTCGGTGTCCCCAGGACTTTGATAATTTCAACCAATTGGTCGATTCCCGACTCTCCAGGGAAAAGCGGCTGTCCGAGCATCAACTCGGCCATAACACAACCAGTAGACCACACATCTAAAGGACGATTAGCATCAAACGGTAACGTCAGTGATATAGCGGTGGTAGTTACCGATCTTTGTGGTGTAATTTGTCGCACCGAAAATTAATTCTGGAGCTCTGTAGTAACGAGAGCAGATATAAGAGACGTTAGGCTCATTCTCGACAAGAATCTTCGCGGAACCAAAATCGCAGAGCTTCAAGATGCCGGTGCTCGGATCCAGGAGGAGGTTTTGCGGTTTGATGTCACGATGGCAGATGCCCTGGGAATGGATATATGCCAGAGAGCGGAAGAGCTGGTAAATGTATAGCTTGACCTCCAGCATCGGCATTGTCGTCTTCAGCTTGTTAAAATAACGTGATGCCCGATAGACCGTCTCCGGTACGTATTCTAAGACAAGGTTGAGGTAGACTTCGTCCTTCTGCGGATCGGTCAGCATGGAGAGTAATGGACAAACACCTGAGATCTTGCCGCAATAGAATGGAGAAGCGGAGGTTAAGTGATCCATACCCTTTCGCCATTGGAATAGTAGAATGCTTTAAGCTCGACAATATTGGGGTGGCGCACGATCCGCATGATTTGGAGCTCACGATTCTGTGAGTCTGTCAGCGATCTTGCACACATAGTCAGGGATTCGCCCTGGGCCACGCACTTTAAAACGCTTGTCTTGGAGGACCCTCTTAATGGCAGCGTCCTCGCCGCTCGGCATCATCTTGGTCTGGAAAACGACACCAAATGATCCATTGCCGACAATTTTGCACTGTGAATAGGATATTTCCTTGGTTTCCCCAGTGAGTCCATCTTGGACTTTCTCGCGGACGACCTCTATGCAATGATGAGCGATGGGAAAATAGAGTCAGTCACCAGGTTCAGCGATAAAAAAACCGACATTGAGGTTTTCTCAGAGGGAGACAGAAAGGGATTCATGTCTTACCACCAATGCGCAAACTCGAAAACACCCCAGGCCGATTCTGTGACATCACGGATGACTTGTGAAGACGACAATGAGTGGTTGCTAGAGTGACGCTATCGAGAAAAGAAGTCCTTGAGGGTCAACAGCGAATGGGTGCGCAGAGATACTGGAGCGAGCTGTAGAAAATCCGTTCGAGGCAGGTTGGCGTCGGTGGAGCACAAGTTGAAGAGGGGTGCGCTGGATGGGCGGGATATCCGAACGGTGGATGTTGAGTGGACGTGCGCGTGAGATGAAAGGTTGAGAAGCGGGCGGGCGAATCGCAGAAGGGAAGGCTCCGGCGACCAAGGACCAATGACTTTAGACAGGGCGCCAAGAAGTACAGTACACAGAGGAACCAGGAAGCAGTTAACGCCCGGAGAGGATAGGATTTCGAGCGAACTGCGGGCGGGCGAGGGCAGAGAACGAAACGGGAGGGGGGTGGAGGAGGGTAGAGGGGGGGGGGGGATGGGAGAGAGAGGGGGAGAGAAAGAGAGAGATAGAGTCGTAGTTAGTAGGAAAGGGAAGAAGCAGCTGGAAAGAATCCAGAACAGCTGATTCGAGGAAAATGGTTGGGAGAGAGAACAGTAACTGTGGCCGAACGAATTCAAGGAAGGGCGGGTAAGGTAAAGGGTTAAAAGAGAAGCACAGGTTCTCGCAGGGGAAAGGATGGTCGGAGGAGAGGGAAAAGAGAGAGAGAGGGAAGAGGAGAAGAGAGCGAGAGCAGGTGACGTTGGTCGAGCGACGAAGCCCGAACACGCGAGGGCTGCAGGAACGCGGTAATAAAGCATCGGGAGGGAGAGGGAGAATAGTAAAAAGTTAAGGAAACACACGACCCAACTCTCTCTCTTTTTACTCTTTTCTATATGTATTTTTCTCGGGTTGTTAAGCGGATATCAAGTACGTACAGCCACGAATTAACAAGCAATAGCAATTCACTCAAACACAGTGATCAATCAGGAGGGCAGCAAAGCAAAGGGGAAACATTAAAGAGAAGACAGACCCAAGATTGGCTCCCAAAGGAGACAGGAGTGAGCCAGTAGTCCAGCTACTACGTAGTCCTTTAGCTACTACAGCTTGCCCCAATATCCCCAATATCTGGAATGTCAAGCCCAAAAGAGCAGCATCCAGGCTTAGCCCTGAGCCTGGAGGGTGCTTCTAGCTTGGGAGGGGTGGGCGGGCGGCGGGACCTCCCCCCGGGAGAAGAGGAGGAGGAGGAGGAGGAGGAGGAAGGAAGTCTTGTAGTCATGTCACCACTTGTAAATGCAGTAATATTACCGCGGTAATAAACAGCCATTGGACATGCAGCAGCAAGCTGCGGCTGTGCGAGTGGTGGTATTTTGTTCGTGTATAGTATAAGTATGTATGTATTTAGAAGGTAAAAAAAAAGAAGACGGCCTACGTATCCTAGGATTGCTCTCCATCAGTTTCCGGGCATAATGATTCCCGACAGGACTAGTTTATAAGAGATTTGGATATACTATTAGTATCATATGCACTGTATAGTTTTTGTTCGGGTCTATCTACGAGTGGGATAATACCCTGTCCACGTCCCGTCAATACATACCATCTGTCGGTCTAGAGACATGCCTTCAGTCTCAAGTATTGTGCATGTGTGTCGGTGTGCACAGTAAACATACAGTATATATACGGTATAAGTATAGCATGTATGGGTGTTTGTGCTGTTATAGTACTTTATTGTACATACCCTACCCGAAGCATTCTGATTCACACAATCCCATGTTAGATGAGATTGGCACATTCCAAGTAAGTACTGCACCTCTCAACTCATTAGCAGTAAGTCTGAATAAGTTATAGGTATTGAATTGAATCGCCTATAACGCTATTTCCCTTACTGCAGCTAGACGCAAGGTACAGTACAGTACAGTACAGTACATACACTATGTTCATACTTGCTATAACCTAGGTGACCATTGTAGAGAACGCCGCCTGACTGACAAAGCCCCATCGTTATCAACAGGCTTCATACCCAAACCTCATGCGCCGTGCTATCAATTATGCATTGTTTCCCCAAGAGCTGGTTAACATCACCTGATGAGGTCACTACAGATAGGCGAGGGTATAGCGAAGCTTGTATCCGTCTTCCCCTCGATATACCTACCAAACAACGAGGATGATGATGATGGCTGCTCACAGGTAACTTAGACTTGGATGACGGACCTGGCGAGGAACCGCGAGGATTGGGCGAGAGCAGCCACTGCTTCATGGGCAGATGACCTTGGGCCCCAAGTGCTTGGGTATAAGATCACATAAGGCGGAACTGATCTTACAGGATTTCGGGTTTTCACCATATTTGAACCTTCTAAATAGGTCTTACAATGCATAATGGATCCCAAGTCAGGATATACCGTAGCGTCATTTCTGGCAACGGTAACGGTCTCACGTCTCACCGAGAAAAGAGGGCCATGACGCATAAGTGGTACGAGTAAAAACCAGGAGATTTAGGTAGTTAGTTTAGCACACTTCCATCTCGATCTTCAAAGATCAAAGTGCTATCTGTCCCTGCAGTAGGTAAGAAGGAGATGAGAAGAAAACATGAAGGGAGGGAGAGAGTGGGGAAAGGAGGGGAGGAGGAGGGGGGGGGGGGGGGGGGGGGGGAAGGGGGGGGGCCTTTTTTTTTTTTTTTTTTTTTTTTTTTTGGGGGGGGCGGCGCAGAAGCGGTGGGGCTAAGGAGATAAATTGGAAGGGGGTGGATCAGGTGACTGGGCGCTCAGCACTAAGAGCACAGGACATGGACTACTAGTATATGGAGCACCTAGTACTCACTACAGTAGTTACCTCAAGTAGTGTAAAAAAACTATGAACTGGTAGTAGTTAGGTACGGAGGAGTCTGTCTAGCTGAGTCCGGGTCATTTATGTCATGATCCGAGGAAACTTTTTGTACAGTACATACTATCTAACTACTCCGTACTCAGCAAGAACCATGGGGGTAGTGAACTCATGAAGTCCCAGTGATTGAGCAGTTAGGTACTAGGTAGTAGGCTTAGTGGTCTAGGTACCTAGTAGTCTTTTACCATCACCTGCTGTTATTGGTTTGCTCCATGTCAAGTGACCATCCGCGATTTTCACCCTAGCACCCTGTTGATTGGTGGTTCCAGCGGACTTGGCCTCTTCGATCTTCATGGAGGAGGTAAATTTCAGGGTACGAAGTATGTGTACTGTAAGTTGAAATGCACTTATGTATTGATGAATGTCACATGAGTGGTAGATGTGTGATTATACAGTACTGTACAGTATTATTTACGTACTATATGGATGGGTTTTACAGTCGTACGTGCTTTGCCCCTTCTCCCACGACCAAGCTTTCCCCGCCACAATTCCACAGGCTTGCACCTTTTTCATGCTCGAATGCAATCTAGATCATGGCGCCCATGCCCTTTTGCTATCCACAACTTATGCCATCTCCTCCATCTCTCTCTAGTGGTATAATGATGAAGTATATATAGCATATAGCTTATAATCCAGAAATTTTGATTTAGTAGACTGATTTGCCTCTTTTGCCGAAAGCATGTTGCTATTTGGAGCATAACCCACTCCAATCCTTTCGCCACAAGAACTGACAGGGAATTGATACCTGTAGGACATGGAGCTCATGGCTGCTGTCTCAATTATGGCAGAGACCAAGAATGCTAGATACATGATAAGCCCATAGCAGTACCTACCATAGACGGTTTGAGAGTCGGTATACAATAGTATGGATTTAAAGCAACTAGAATGTTTAAAAGAGTGTTCAAGATGCTGCCTTCACTTTCCTTGAGAAAAGACTAGTTTATACCGGTGATCCCTTTGCCCTCACTGGTAGTGACGTTCGCAAAGACTCTTCGGCGCGCCAAAGCCAGCAGTCAGTAGCCCACTCCCTCATTCTAATCGTTTGAAATGCAGTGGAGCATATACGATGGAATCGTGGGTTTCTAAACAGTGAGCACGCTTTAGACAGCTATTTTGGTTTTTTGCAGGAATTATGCACAATGTTATCCAGGATTGATCGGATAACTTTTGAATAGATGACGTGGGTTGGCGGATTCTATGAACAGGTACTACCTCATAGCAGCTACTCGGAACAACAAGCAAATCCATCCCAGCCCGCACTTGCATAGCTGAGCAAATCAAGTATGCTCTTCAACTACAATACTGTACATGAAATGAAAGATTGCCGATGACAGTAGCTATGGTTAATCGTTTGAGGACTTGCCGAGATGGGAGCAGGACCCGCCTTACCTACCTACACATACACATTATGTATGCAGCTGGTGTCTCAAAAGTCATACCACGAACAACAGGCTCTTTTCATAGAGTCAGAAAAATACCTAGAACTGTTCCATCAAGCCCAGGCTTTACAATTACTGTTTAATCCTGCAAGTGGCTGTACAGTAGCACTGCTGAGGTATTTTTTGGCTCTCCTCTCCAGATATACAGTTCCATGAGAAGATTTTCTGAAGAAAAGATGCAGTGCTAGCAGTCATGGCAGAGCTCTTTGTGGATAGTGGATACTATGTTTCTACTACTCGTACATAGGGCTAACTGTTCAGCCTATTTATCTCGGAGCATAACCACGTGTACAGTAGGGCATTTGGTTAAGACTTAACCATCAAGCGCAGACTGAGTCTTGGACCAAGGCTTTAATTTTACCTTCCCTGATAGTTACAGGGTTCTTTCTCATTTGTGTGAATTTATGTAACGGAATTTGTTATTCTCCTTTCACCCAATTGATCAACCCAAAGGACCTCGACCTGGAGATGTTTTCCCAACTCTGCCCGCTCCCGGAGGCAGTAGACTCTCCCTGACCAATCCTGGGTGATTTCGATATGCTGGGCGTGCCCCTCGACGCAATACCTACAGTGATCACCGACCGTGGGAGGGAGGGATCTATTGCACCTTCAGGTGAATTCTGCCGATTATCATTGCAGTAGACCCAAATTGCACCAGTGATGTCTACATCCGATCATTGACAGGTGCTCCGTATGCCGCGACTTACTGACTACTGCGCATTGTTAAGTTAGCCCATAGCACAGTGTGCTACTGTACAATATTCCTACCTCATCAAAATCCTGAATCTTTGAAAAATGTATCCAGAAAGGGGTTTCTCTTTTTAGGATTCTTCCAAACGCCAATTTACAAGGGTGGGAGAGAAGAGGGTAATATCGCACACATACCTGGTGCTGGGTATGAGGGAGCAGTAAGATGATGTCACAGTGGGGAAAAGAGGGAAGACGCCGCTTTACAACTCAACCACCGTTTTATCAGTTCCAATCTTTCTTTCCCGCCCTTCGGTTTAGACATGGGACTAGGGTTTCGCCACACTCAATCTCATTGATAATTAGCTTGGATGTAGCTTCAGATGTCATTGCGGAGCAAGAGTCAATTCTCACTGTCGCATGGACTCTACAGTATAGCACAAACCGTAAATTACTTGTAGAGTGATAATCGGGTACGCACGTAGTTTGAAATCACGAGCCCTACACTGGATGATGGGACATGGTCTAATCTTACCCTACCATGGAAGGGCATGGTTCCAGTGGATAACTCATATTAGTACGTAGTTAGATTGAAGCAGTGATCCGCCTTCACCCCTCCCCCCAAAGGGGGAATGAATAACTTCAATATCTATCCCCGAATTTTCCGTCCAGGCAAGCTGCCTCTCAATTGAACTTCGGTTCTATATACTTGATCATGAAAATATGTCAGGATTGCTTCTCTTCCCAAGTAATAAGTGACGTGTGGCTGTCCAAAGTTGACTCTTTGAAACTTTCTCCAAATGTCACGCTTCTCAAGAGGCTTATTATGCCCATTCACACAAGTCCTTTTTCTTCGGCGAGCCGAACTATGGGGGGTGGGGACTATTGGAACTAGTCTACTTAGTATGGTTGAATACGGAATAGTAACGTATGACTTGGTGTAATCAGGACTTGAGACCGAGTAACTCACTGAGTACTCCTAGTTCTGGCTCGGGATGACTCGGTGGCGCCGCATGAGAGGTCATGAACTTCATTGGATTGAGTTGAGGCCTGTAGCAAATATTGTACCTCCCGGAGTCCCGGTCCGGTAGTACTCATAAGTTACCTTGGTTCAAGCTAAAAGAATCCCAGCAAAGGCCTTTCAAGTGCGGTATTCGGGTGGTTTATTACGCAGTAAGTAAGTATTCACTACGAAAACTGTTACTGTACGTATCTCGGCGCTGCTTTCTTCCTCCAAAACCCCTTCTGACTTGATACACGCTGCTAATATCCTTCACAATCATCGTATATACGCTAAAATCCAGTGCTTCAGGTCTGAAAGTACAGAATTAATGTTCTGTCTTACTCGTTACAACCAATATTAGGGAGTTGATCTTAACCTGACTTGCAAGCCAACCAGAGTACAGGAGTGATACGTACAGGCCATCCCATCCATGTTATTAATTTCTCATTATGCAATATTGGTTATGTGCTGTCGATTGATGTCTTTGAATGAACATCTCTGAGGAGATTTTCTGCGGTATATATATCCCCTTGCCCGCCCTATCCTTCTCACCACAAGAAATCCACATGAAGGGGACAGCGTGAAGAGTAGGCATGACTGCAATTGTCCCTGTGCTGCCATCAAGGCCAAAGGTTTTGGTTTCAAACAAGCGTCCGCATTCATTTTACATTGTCCCATCTATGATGCGTCAGGTAACAGCAACCATTCCAACAGTGATGCTTCCATGGACACCCAGCAATCTTGTTCGTCTGCCGGTATAGCCATCGGAAAAAGGTAAGAAAGCAGAAGGATAAGAAAACCATGGGACCGAAATCATGAACAGAACTGAGATCAGCTGCGGCCGAGTCAAGAAAGCATCTATACAAAATTGGGTCCCGTACGTCAAAGCGATTGCAGCAAACCGCGTTCAAGGGGATTAACCGTAGGTAACACACAACCTTCCGAACATACACATGGAGAAAGAAGAGCTACTAAAACAGAGATTGAAAAATATATGAGCCAGGGGCAGGCCGAAAGCGAGAGCGCCTAGCTCCCACGCCCGAGTGGGAGTCACTAGCCCCAGCTACGTTCTAGGGCGTGCTTAGAAAGGAGGAGGGATCATGCCCTGGGCCTCAACTTTCTCTTGCTGCTCCATCAATTCCTCGCCAGCGATCTCGAGGGAAACAGCAAGACCAAGCTTGGCCGTTTGCTAATGGAGAGACAAGCATTAGTGTGACAATTTCAACAAAAGCTGTATTTTGTTGAAGTATGGGTGCGACTTACCTTGGCCTGATCAATCTCGCCGGCGAAAGTAAGAGCAATAGGCATGGCTATCCGCTTCTCGAGAAGGCAGCTGACCTTTCCGGCACTGTCGACCTGAGCACGGAAAGTAGAAGCGCGGAAGTCATACTTAGCACCAATGGCAGTAGTGCCATCACGGCTAGGACCACCCATCAGCGCAGCAGCCGCGTTAGGAGCGAACTGCAGGTTCATATCGACACCGGCCTCAACGCGCTCAGAAAGCTTCTTCCAGTAAGAGGCAGTCAGAACACCCTGAGCCTGAAGTTGTGCGCTGGCAATCCAGTCGTTGGCCTTGTACCGGGCACTGTAAGAAAGGGCACTTTCCGGACGAGTGTTCATACCCTGGCGCTGCCAAATTGCTTCAAAACCAAGTGCTAGGCTGGGCGTAACGGATTGGAGATAGCTGCCAACGAAGATTCCAGTGAGACCTCCATCCAAGAGAGATGGGTTGAAAGCCTTGAGAGAAGCGGAGAAATCATCACCGGTGTAGTCCTGGTCGACCTGAATGAGGGCCTGACTAGAACCAGCCATAATCTGAGTGTTGGTCTTGGTGACCAACTTGGGAGTCCAGCGGTAGTTGGCGACAGCGGCGAGTCCACCATCGCTTCCGATGTTACCTTGCATAAAGACCTGCATGAACCAGTAGTGATGGCCGTTAGCAAGTGGCAATATACTTCATGAAGTGTAGCAAGAGTGTTTCAAATCAGAGAACGGTTTACCTTCGGACTTCCATACATAGCGGAGAAGTTGTACGGAGGCAAGTTTCCGGACGAGCCCATCGAGAACGCATGCGACACACGGAACAAGGGAGACATCCCAAAGACTTTAGTCAAATCGGCACGAAGACCCGTGAACATGAAGTTTGACAGCAGAACATCCTTTTGCACCTCCCGGGCGATGTTTTCCACAGTTCCGGGGTTAGAGAGACCGAGGGCGGCCCTGCGCTCGGAGAACGAGGAGTATGCATCCTTGAGAGCTGCGGCAACGGAATTGTCCGTCAAGAACGATGGAGGAGTCAAATAATCGGACATTGTGATGGATTGCGGAGGAAAAACAAGGTCGGTATACTCGAGTGGAACGAAACGGACGTTGGAACGTGACGCGGCCGTCCTTGTGATGGAAAGATGGGGAAAGACAAGGCTAGGAAAGACGAGTTCTTGACACCAGCCCTAAAATGAAGACCGAAGGAATCCAGGAGCAACCGTGGCAGTTGTAAAGGCAGGTATCGAGGAAAGTGCCTGACCTGCTCGGGGAGGTAGGGGGAAGGGGGTAGGAAGAAGAAAAAGAGGAGGAGGGAATGCCAAACACCGAGGTAGAATTCGTGGTGAGGTTCAGTTGATGGACGATTGAAGCCCAGAGCTTTCGGGACTGAAAAAAGTCGCTCAACCTTCGCTTTTCCGCCCGGGCTGCGGCTAAGGTATCTGCGGTTCGCCGGAGCCAGACTTACTCAATACTCAGTAAGAACCAGCCTCGGATGCTCGGACTTTCAGTTCTGCCGCGATGACCTAATCAAACTTCATAAGTCAGTTGATACGGAGTGCCTTGTTACGTATGAGTAGGTACAGTAACGTTAAAGTCAAGAGGTTAGTGAGTACGGTAAGCCTGAGTGTACAGTATAGTAGCTAGCCAACCGATCAACTGATACCTTACTGCATTTAATCATTATTAGACTGGGCATGACTAATGGAACTGACTAACTTAACTAGGTAGTTGAATTAGTCACCCGTGACCATTCACACATGCATCCCGACACGAAAGTGATTCTTATCTCATTCAGTTCTTGTACAGTACTTAGTATAGTAGTACCATTTCGTCTTTTATATTGCTCTTGAACTATACTTGATAGCCCGCATCAGTCTGAATATAGAATCGCTTCATTGGGTGTGGAGTAATTGACTACAGGTACTTGGTAATTATTGTCTACGTACTCGAGGTATGTACAGCTGAATACTGTACCTACGTACCTACGTACTAGGAACACAGTCCGCTGCCTGGCTGGTTGGGCCGAGCTCGTGCTCCTTTCCTCTAATCTTGAATGCCGACTGTTGGAACCTGCCTTCCTTTGACTCCAGCTTTTACCCTCCATGACTTTTCTTATTTATCCCACCCGGTCTTCTTCAACATCGAGATCGAAATTGCTCGTTGTCGTGCTGTTCGTTATCAGTGTCAAAGAAAGCCCGTAATTATCCCTTAGCACCATGGACACATTACTGTAAGTCCCCTTCTCCCCGCCATCTCTGCCATTCTCCGATCTATCTGAGTCTGGCTCCTGCGCACTCGCCTGTGCGTACCCATACCGCTTACGCTTTTGGCGACCTGGATAAACCCACAGCTACCTGGTGCTCTAACATGGACTAGAACTGCTGAAATCATCGCCAATTCCCCGCGTTTCCGACGGAAGTCTTCTACCTTCGTCGATGCGATTCATGACTTACCCGAGAAGGCCGATCTGGCTCCGGCCCAGCTCTACAGTACCGAGTCAGGACGGCTTTTCCACTCCGGCCGAATCGTCATTATCACCGTGGGGTTACCGGCGAGGGGTAAAACGTTCGTCATACCCAAGTCACTCGTATATTTCCTTTGGCTCGCTGACGCTTGATCAGACATATGTCTGTAGCTCTAGCGCGATATCTACGATGGTAGGTCAATTCTTTCACGGGAGATTCGCTGAGACTAGCGCTTAAGATATCCCAGGTTAGGTGTGAAAACAAGAATATTTCATCTAGGAGATTATAGACGTGCAACCATTCCCTTTGGCCAGGATATTCCAGACGACTACTTCTTCGTGAACGGTAAGCCTCAAGTGGCAGTTCTTGCATCTTTCCTCAACGTACTCATTCCGCACAGCATCCGCTTCATCGGTTCTCTTAAGACAAAAGATTGTGAAACGGTGCCGGGAAGATATTTATCAGTTTTTGAACCATGAAAATGGACAGATAGCCATTTACGACGCTGTCAATCCATTGGCATCCGGTCGGCGATCACTCGCAAAAGAATTCGCCAAGCATGACATTGAGGTGAGTTGTCTGGGATGTGTGCTTTGAGTCTCTTCGTTTATTTTGACCCTTTCTCCCATTAGACACTATTCATTGAGTCCTGGTGTGACGACGAACGCATAATCGAAGAAAACGTCCGAAGGGTCAAAATATCCTCACCCGATGTAAGTACTTCCCGGCATTTTCGCGCGAGACCCTAATTCTTGTATAGTATGTGGGCTGGAGCTCGGAAGATGCGGTAAAACATTACTTGACTCGGATAGCCGCTCGTAT